CCCCCCCCCCCGCCCCAGGCAGGGGATTTTCCAGCCGCACATCCCAGCCCGGGGTGCGGGGAAGGGCACAGGGAGAGGGCAGAGCATCACCGTGTCCACATCCCAAGGTGGGGTTTTTGGGGTTTGTTTTTTTTTTAACCTTCGGAGGGACCATCTCTGCCCCATCTTCGATCTGCCCAACTCCCCGGAGCCGATTACAGCGAAAGGTCAGAGCTGTTATCTGCGGGTGCCCAACTTCCACATTTTCATAATGCAACTTTCTGGTATAAACTGCTTTGGTGGGGGGCAGGGTGTTCTGCAAAGGGCAGGGAGAAAAGTCTTGATTGCCGGGATGGAGAAGATGAGAAAAAATTCCCTCCCTGGCTTTCCCACTCGGGGAAGGGACCAGCTCTGCTCTCCTGACCCAGGGTCTGTGCTCCTCAGCCATCCCTGCCGGCATCCCGCCGGCCACCGGCACGGCAACAGCCCAAAACCAGAGTCATTTCAGCCTTCTACGTGCTAAGAACTGCAGTTCTGCTCGTCTAGAATCATGATAAGAGAAAAGGAAAAAAAAAAAAAATTATAAAATCTCCATTTTCAGATAACGCTTAAAACATTGCTCTTAGCAAACTTGAGTCATTTGTGGCTTGTTTCCTGTGAGATACTAAAAATGCCACCGTGTGACGCCCTGGGCGAACCATGGGAACTGCTGCTTCTGTGGATTCAATCCATCCATTCCATGGCACATCCGATGTTTTCTATGGTCCATTTTCTCTTATTTTCTACTGTTTTTCTTTAAGAAACCATAATCCAAGCTCCTAGGTATATGGTGTCCGGGTTTCAACTACAAAGTTGTACTCATCTTTCTTTATTTACTTACCTTGTGTTCTAGTGACTGAAGGGCTGGCTTAGAAATCTAGGGACATCAAAAAGCTAATGCATAAACCAGGAATTCTGTTCCATGTAAACATCCTCCGGGCTGTTCCGGAGCTCAGGGCTTTCAGAGAGACCTGGCTTCTGATTCCTGAACGCCCCTAAGATCAAATATTTTGGGGCACATCTGAAGTTCCCAATAACGGCCAATAAAGGATAATGAGGTGCATTTCCTTCTATTGGAAAGCTCTCAGAGCTTGGCAGAGCAGAGCCCACGTGTTCAGAAAGGGAATATGGGGCCCAAAAGAATAAACTGGGATAAACTGGGGCCTAAAATTGCATAGAGTTCCCCACGATTTTAACGAAAACTCACAGAGCTGGCAGGAGGGGGATGTTATGACACAACTTGCAGGGCACAGCAGTTTAAGCCTAGAAGAGTGAAAACCAGGATGGAATATAATCAGATAATATCTCAGGGCTCAGCTTGCCTAAATAAAATAAAAAACCTGCAGCATCAGTTTCTCAGCACAGAAGTTCTTGACCACTGATCGTTTCTCCCTGCTGAAGAAAGTAATTTTTTGCCCAGAAAACCGCTGACCCAGTAAATAAGCGGTAGTAATATCATTTTTTTCCTGTTGCCTGCTAGAAATTGGGAGCAGTCTGATCCTTCTCCACCAGTGCAGGTCTCCTCTGCCCTCCCCCCCCAGCCTCAGGCAGGACAGAGTGACAGAAACAAAGCGTTGAGGGACTCTGTGCTAGAGAGAGAACCCAATAACGTATGAAAAAACTTGGGGCTCCCCTCTGCCAGATGTTGAACACCTTGGTCATCATCCAGCAAAGCATAAATATATGTATAAGTATATATATATAAAGTATATATACATCTTCCTGCCACCAGCCACAGGTTTAAAATTCAGCAAGTGCTTAAAGGATTATTCTAATGGTGTTTTTTATCAACTTCCCTGGGGTTTGGATGAAGCCCTGAGTGGCAGCCCCAGGTCACTGCAAACCCTGCAGAACTGAGCTCAGGCACCTCTCTTTTATTTTTTCACTGATTTTTTTTTTTTTTTTGGAAGAACTTGTAAAATTACACAAAACAGCCAAAGAGGAGGATACTTTAAGAGAGTAGCTTTGAAGAAAATTCTTGCTTTATCCCCAGGTATTACCGGAACCATCCTAGATATCAGAGCTTTTTAAAAAGGGAAAAAAATACCACGCGTGATAGTCAGTTCTAATATTTCTTTTCATACAGGGATGTGTAAATCCCAAATAATCGTTTGAGCTGTGTTGGCATAGACCCATCCCAGGGGACTCATGTCCTTAGCTGAATGGAAAACACAAGTCCTGCAGTAACATCAGGTAAAATTCTCTGTTAAAAACAGCAGCAAAACTCAAACCCGTTGGGCAAGAGTCTCATCGGTTGGATTGATTCATTTCATGCTGTTCAGAGAAATGACATCCTCGGACTTAAGTCTTCAAATTTACATTTCCCAACGGAAAGTTGATTGCATGTAAAATCCCTCAGGTGTCTTTTCTGGTCCTTTAGCCCTTGGTGAGGCTGAAATTCCCTTTGCTTCCAGCGGCACCAACAGTCAAAGCTCACAAGCTCAGGTTTACAATATGGGCTCGTATATTTTTAGGCTTTCTGCACAGATGCTTTGTGGTCCTGCTGGGGTTCTTTAGTCATAGCTATTTTTAGGCTTTCTGCACAGATGCTTTGTGGTCCTGCTGGGGTTCTTCACAAAGTCATAGGTAAAATCAGAAGTTGTCTGTGTTGATTCGGTCACTTACAGTTGTTTAGAGGTAAATCTTAAAAGTCTTGTTGGAAAAAAACATTTTTTTAAAAAAGTGGGAATAAAAGCATCGCTAGATGATGTGGACAAAAGAGAATTACTTGAAAAATATAGTAGGAACTCCTGGGACTTTGTGGGTGTTGGCACCCGTCGGTCGTCACAGACATGACCAGCATTTCTGCAACGTGGTGAATCCAGGCAGCTTTTTGACTGCGCTTCTGAAAAAGTGAAATCTTTTATTATGGAAGAATCGTGTTCTGGGAAAGGTATTTCTCTTGTAAGAACTCCATGGATTGAGACACATGGTGGAGCAATTCATGTTCTCTCTAGAGAACATGAAAGAAGAAAGATGATGTATCTATACAAATGCCAATGTCCTAGTAAAGTAGTAGATGCCTTTACAGTAATGAATACACACAGGGGATACAGAGACTGTCATGTTTATGCATTATTCTTTGAAGAAAAATAAAAAAAAATATTTAGCAAATTTTCGGATGCTTTCATTAACTCCTTAAATTTTAAGCTTTCCTTTTTTCTTTAAAGCAAAAGAAGAGTCAAGTCTTGCTCCTCTCATGTCAGAAGTGGATAAATGACTCCCTTCTTCACGGGGAGAAAAAACAAGGATGCAATCCCTGTTCTAACTTGACCCATCTTGTGTTTTGCTTTTCCTTCTCCGTCTTCTCACCCGGATGCTTGTCGGAGCACGTTCTCCTTCTCCAACGAGTCTTTCCTCCCCGCAGGGAGCCGGTGGATGAGGTCCTCCAGATCCCCCCTTCGCTGCTGACATGTGGTGGTTGCCAGCAGAACATCGGGGACCGCTATTTCCTGAAAGCCATCGACCAGTACTGGCACGAGGACTGCCTCAGCTGCGACCTGTGCGGGTGCCGCCTGGGAGAGGTGGGGAGACGCTTGTACTACAAACTGGGCAGAAAGCTCTGCCGAAGGGACTATCTCAGGTACCCAACCCCCCTCCTTCTACCCTCCCTCACCATCCTCCCATCATTTCAGCTTCGCTTAGTCATTTAATTAGCCTAGCTAGCGAGCAAAGAGCCATAAAATATGAATTTTTGACTACTCTTAAAGCCCGACAGCCTTAAAGCTCAGATGTACAATACGGGCTTCTATATTTCGGGGGTTGATGGACAGATGCTTTATGGTACTGCTGGGGTTCTTCGAAGTTGGAGATAAAGCCAGAGGTTGCCTGTGTTGATTCAGTCACTTGGAGTTGTTCATAGGTTACATCTTAAAAATCTTGTTGGGAAAAAAAAGCACGTTTTTTACTGAAAATGAAAGTATTGCTACATGGTGTAGGGCAGGACTTTGTAGAGTAGAGTAGATGGTTGGACTCAATGATCCCAAGGGTCTCTTCCAACCTGAATGATTCTATGATTCTATGATTCTATGATTCTATGATACTATGTTGTGGGCAAAAGAGAATTATTTGAAAATGTGAAGAATATAGTAAGGACTCCCAGGACTTTGGGGTTGTTGGCATCCGTCGGTCTACACAGACATAACCCGATAGCTCCAGGGGAACTGGGCAGTGTCAGCGTGGGATTCTGGCAGGTGGAAATTGGGAAGTGGTGAGGAATTTCAGCAGGTTTCCCCTAAGCTGACTATAAACTGGTTTCCCCAGATGGTTTTCAGTAGTTCTGTGTTTCTCCAAGCATCACCTTGGAGCTGGAAGGCACAAAAAACCAGGTGCCAAGACTGGCGACTGACGAAAGATCATTTAGTTCTCATTTAAGAACACAGTATCCAAGGTAACTGAGTTAAATTTGTTTTCCTGACACAGTAATATCAGCTGTATCAGGGATGCTTGATTCCAGTAGCCAGCAGGGCTACTGGAGTCGAGGGACCTGCTGGGTGTCTGAAGGCACTGCCTTTTATACCTGGATCCATCCCTACCTTTTTCTGCATCACTGGTGAAGTCATCTGGGACACTTCAGGCAGAAGGATGCCATGTGCTGTATGTTTATTGCCAAGCTACAACCAATACAGGGAACTCTGATTGCACTAATTTTTGGATCTAGTGGATTTTTAGCATTCTTAATCTTGGTCCTAAATAGAGAAGAATTTATCCATTTTGCTGAGTCAGATCCTACAAATGCACTTCTTACAGGTATTTTCATTAACATCTCTCTGCCTACCTGTTTTGCCAAAAATTGGAAATAGGAGGATTAGATTGAGAGTAAGATATTTCAAAAAAAAAAAAAGAAATATAAAGGATAAATATAAATAAATAAAGGATCCTTATATTGTTGATTACAATTAAAGTATATTGGTCTTCACCTCTAATGGATCCCTCACAGGAGATCTGTGGAACACAATAACAGTATTTGACGGGTTTTTTTTTTTTCAGCTACCTTCCTGTACAGTAATTTACCTGCCAATAAAAACTAACCCGAAATCTCTGTGGAGTTCCTAATTATGGTGTTCCTGAGCTTTACCGATGGCAATTTTGCTAAGCAGAAACTAAGGACTGAGCTCTGTTGATGGGGCTGCTTATAAATACTCCAGTCCAGCAGTCCAGCCGTGACCCAGTGCTAGTTACACTTTCCAAATGTTTTTCATCTTAAAATGGAAGCAACAGAAAGTTTGGCGATACAATTAATGTATTTTCTTGCAGCAAAATCCAACGTTTTTATTTATTTAATAATGGACCATATAATGTCTTCCCTCATTAATGAAAAATTTGGCAACCCTTGTGTAACCTTAGTCTTACTTTCGTTGGGCAGAAGTAAACACTGACATCTCCTGGCAGAGGAAAGAAATGACGTCTTTTCCCCTTAAAGAGCTCTCTTTATTTAGGGGGCATCCTTTTTCCAGCTCAGAAGATGTTATGAAGCAGACACAACTTATGCAAAAGAAGTACAGGAGGTGGAAAAAAACTCTTTTCAGAATTAGTATGGAAACTTAGAAGTCAAACTCAATAGGTGTATAATTTGAACAAGTAATACGTAGCATTTCTCCTTGCTTTTAAGAAAAAAATAATAATGCCTTTCTGCTCATTTATTAATGATTTGACTTACAAACTCTGTAGCCAGCAGACTGCAGGAAAGGCTGGTGTTCCTCCCTAGGTGAGTGTGTGGCCCTGCTCCAGCAGTGGGTGCTGGGAGGGAACACATACCCTGTGTAATGAATGTACTCATTCATTAGAGGCTCCTTTTAACAGACAATACCATAATGAGCTCAGCAGAGGTTTTCAGTGGGAATTAAAGAGCAGTCCACATCACAAAATTATTTGGGCTAGCACAGGTATCGAGAAGGTCTTAGCATGTATCCTTCTGAAGCCCAGCAGGAGTGACTTCATGGATGCTTGTGTTGGAAAGAATCTCCAATGTGGAGGCACCAACAAGAGACAGGGGAGTCTCAGCCCGTGGCTGGTGTCAGCTCCTTTCTGTGGGCTATGGCAGCAACAGCTGAAAACAGGCAAAATCCATCAATGGAAAGGTAATTCCTATCAATTGCAGAAGGGGAGTATTAGTGTAGCACAACCTCATGCTGTGATTTATGGAACCTTTACTCCTCTTGAAGCAGTTCAGGATAAAGTCATTGATCAGAGAAGTCAATTATATTGAAAATAGGGGAGAACCTTGGACTTTCTACTTCAGTTTTTGGTCCTGCAAAGTTCTGCTTGTCAGCTTTCCATGTGGCTATCCAACTTGGTGATACTGTGACTAATGGATCAAGGCACTGATGTCGTGTTCTTGTTTTGATTTGGTTTTTCCCACCTCCCCAGCAAAGGATCTCTGCTTACTGCTCTGCTGTTGTTGTTTTAGGCTCTTTGGCCAAGATGGCCTCTGCGCCTCCTGCGACAAGAGAATCCGGGCTTACGAGATGACCATGCGGGTGAAGGACAAAGTATATCACCTGGAATGCTTCAAATGTGCTGCCTGCCAGAAACATTTCTGTGTTGGGGACAGATACCTCCTCATCAACTCGGACATAGTATGCGAACAGGACATCTACGAGTGGACTAAGATAAACGGAATGATCTAGCAAGGACACGGCTCCGTAGTCTATAAAAAGACATCTCACGGGTTACACCGATGCGTAGCGGCAGGGAGGAGATCACCACCTGAGCTATGGGCTTTGTCTAAAATGGGGGGAAAATGCCACGGAGTCGGCTCTTTGTGGGCAGTGCTGCGTAGAATCTAAACTACACGTAGGTGAAGAAGGGAGACCAAAGCAATAGTAGATAGACTGACTTCTCTTAACAAAGGCATACGGACAATAACTGACAGCAGCCACGTAGACGAGAGCTGGGGAGCAAACACAAAGCCTTCATGAGTTCTCCCAACTGGCAAAAAAAGAGTAGGGACCTCTGTAAAGAGATGCTATGACTTTGTCGCCTGCAGACTAGGATTGTGCAATTGAATTTTCTTTTCATCTTGTTTTAGTTACTGAGTTTAGACAAGAGCTCCTACTGTAGACATGAGGAAGAACACTGGCAGAAAAGGGCCATCACTTTCGTGGTCCTTCTATACGGCCTTACACTTCGGGTAGGAGAAAAGCAGGAAGAGGGTGGGGGTTATTTTTGCATGGATTTTCTATTTTTTTTTTTTTTTTCTTTGAGAATGAACAGTTCATCCTCTAGTCCCAAACTCTTCTTTAAAAAAAATCCTGCTGAATAGTTGTTTTCAGGCACTGCTGTTTCAAGATGAGATGTTCCACAGATCATTTCTATACAAATATAAATCTAAAGAGTTGTTCAACTATTTTATTAACTTAGATTATATCGATAAAATATTTGTTGTGTGTAGTAAGACTCTGCAGCTTTAATAAAAATAACAGAAGATTTGAGTGTTGTTATTTCTTTTTTTTTTTTTTCGAGTTGGGCTGGTTTTTTAGTTTCTTTTATTTATTTTATTTTTTTGTAATGGGTTTTCTGCACCTTGTCTACGACTGATGCCTGCTGGTTGTGTTCCAAAGCAGTAATGTGAGAACCCTGAGGTCTCAGTAAGCCTTGTAGAGTTCATGCTAAGGAGAAATTAGATAGTGTTGTAGGAGAAATTAGATAGTGCTGTGTGACACCGAGGCTCTTTGGTGTTTATGAGGATGTTTGGAGGCTGGTGGGCCACAGAGAAGTACATTTGAGCATTACCTCACAGCAAAGACAGAGCCTACCTGATCTCAGAGGAGATCATGTAAGATTAGGGTCTCCTAGAAAAGTAGCTCATCCTGGTTTTGCTTTGGATTACTGACTCCAGCTTAATATCACTAGAGCCAATCAATACTTGCTAGTGTTTAGAAAGAATTAAGTTCAGAGCCTTTCCTGCCAAGACTGTTGTTACTGCTTTAGAAAGAATTAAGTTCAGAGCCTTTCCTACAAGACTATTGTTACTGGCTTCTTAAGTGAAAGCAAGTTTCTTGCCATTGTAGTAATACCAAGAACAAGAGAAGTGCTCCTGGTCAGGCAACAGTGGTCATTCATTATCTTACTCTGGCAAAGACAAGTAGGGGGGGCTCAGGCAACCAGGGAGTGACCTCTGCATGAAGCCTCTCCAGCTTGCAGGAAGGTCCCATCAGCTATGTGTGAACTTGCCTTCAGACCCCTGCACCTAACACCAACTCACAGACCCATTCTCCGTGAGTTTGCCTTATCCCTTTTTTTGACTCTTTGGCCTCCATAAAGTCCCAAAGCAACGATTTTCACAGCTTAATTCTATTCTGTGCTTATTCCAAAACCTGTTGCCTGGTAACTTCATTGGTTGACCACTATATTGTGTGAGATAATGAACAGTCATCTCCTATTGCCTTTTTTGTCACTGTTCTTGACTTTAAAGACCTGTATCATATTCCCTCCAGCTTATTTTTTTTTGAGATTTTTTCTGAGCCTAAATTCCTTCTTCCATGAAAGTTGTTTCACGCCTCTGATAATCTCTGTGTCTCATCTCTGTAGGTTTTCTGGTTCTATGTTATCGTTTTCGAGACTGTCACTAGAACCACACATTGTGTTCAAATGTAGTAAAAAATAGAGTTTGTAACACAGCTGAACAAGGCTGACAGTCTGCTCAGAAGACAGTTGGCATCTCCATTCACCCACCAGTAAGGAAGGCCATCTAAGCATATGGATATCATTTGTCTGATCATTTTCAATAAACTTGTCACCTAAGGGATCTCTCGTCCAAGTGTCAGTACTGACCAATGACAACACTTTGCATTTTACGATGGATATTCTGAGGGCTCTTCTTTCTTTTCTTGCTTTTGTTGTCACAACTAACGCTGGGGACGAAACTTTTAAATCTTATTACCAGTCAAATTGGAAACTATACATAATGAGATCACGCTTGAAAAGTATAGTTTGAGGGCTCCGTGATTTAGCTCTTCTCAAGTGATATGCTGACCTCTGGAGGCCACAGGCAGCTGGTATAATTTTAATTCTTAGCCTAAAGCGTATCGCTGCCAGCACACGCAAGAAAGCTATGGACCCCAGGGAACTACATCTCTCTTTCCCCTCAGTGGCTCTTGGCAAATATTCTGTCCAGCTAGAAAAGAAGTCTCATTATCCCTGTCAGTTTACGGAGCTTGGTGGATGTAACCAGGATGGTGACACAGGATGGAGGTGGACAATTGTTCTTCAGGTGGGTGCGTGGGAGCACACACGCACAGTGAACATCATCAGACAAGGTAATACCAAGAGCTTTATGGCAGATGGCTTTAAAGCTTCACCATGCCCTGCCATGTCATTGCCACGTCCATCTCAGAGTCCCTCTTCTTTCTCTCTCCTTTCCCTGAAAAAATATACCTCGATAGCACTATTGTACGAGCAGGGTAGAAGAGCACTTATGGCTTCATGAACATCTACCGGTCCATGGCAAGAAATTTTTGCAGAGGATGGCAATCAGCTCTTCAGAGACCATCTCTCTGAAGTCACATGCAAATGATGGAGATGGACAGGTATCAAAGGGAGTGTCCTACACAGGGAGACTGAGACCCTGCTCCATCCCACGGCGCTGTCAGCTGAAGGGTCTCTGAACGTGTTTCAGATGGCAGGAAGCCATCTCTAGAGTGGTCCCAACTCTGTGAGGGGAAGGGAGACATAAAACGAGCTTGCCTTTGACGAAGTAAGCCCTGATTTTGAGTTACCAGGATTGGTATGAAAAGCTTTTGAGCCGCATCCTGATCTCCCGCAGCGTGATGGTGTGAGTGGCTCTAAAATAGCTGCAATCACAGAGTTAACACCAGCGTAACGACAGCATCAACGTGGTCAGGATCGACGGGTGTCGTGACAGGTAAGAGTTTTGACATTTGTTCCCTCAACCCTTCCCAGTGTAATTTGTAACCTCACTCAGCCATCAGCTGCAGAGCTCATTTCCACGGTCCCACCTCACAGAGAGCTTTGACTGAAAATTTCGAGTAAGGGGCCTCGTCAACATCTGGGTTGAGATTAGGTAAACGCGGCAATGGTTCAGCGAGGCTTTGTGGTTTTACACTAGTGAGATTAAGATACGTGTCTTGTTCCCACTTCAGAAAGTATTTCCTGTGTGAAATAGCAAGGGAGCTAAATATTCTGCTTCTGAGTTGCCTGCCTGTAAAATGGAGATACCATTTATTCTGTAAAATACCACTTATTCTGTAAAATTTTTTAAACTTCTTCGTGGAAATGCACTCATTATTTTGGGTAAGGTATCATTTCCACAGGAAAATACATTTTAAAACCTAAATGAATAGATTTGTAAAGGAAGGATGCTACAGGGCCTACAGGGGGTTTTCTCATTTTGTTATAAGAACATCAGTTTTATCCAGTTTATGTAACTTCAGAAAGGGCTTAAGCTGAACAGGAAAATGACAGCTTGTGCCAGAAGAAAAGCTTTTAGTTGTATAATTATACCAGTCTCTGGTGGACTTTTCCCCACCAGATTCCTAACCCTTGCTCTCCGGATCCAGGAGGAGAGAGAATAGATTTCTCTTGGAATTGGTGTATCCAACACTTCGCCTCCATCCTCATCTCAAGTATGTGCCTTATAATGAGGACTCTCTCCTGAAATAACAAGAAAATAAAATATTCCAAAAACAATGGCGAAAATAAAAGCAAAGATGATTTAAAGGCATAGGCGAAAAGCACAATAATCTGAATACGACTTCATCAGCCGACACTCAAATGCATTGTCCTTTATATGTTTTCAATATCAGCAGTATTTTAAAAGGCATATCATCCTTCAAGATTTCCCTTCTTTGTCCCCATTATTCAATGTCATGGTAGGAAGATGAGAGCATTACCATCGATATCACTTTTTTAATTCCATGCCCTTGAATAAGGGCAATAAGAACCCTGCATAATAGAGTTTTCAGCGGAGAGAGTAAATGGGAATCGGTTGTTAATTCAATCCAGGATACAGAAGCTGTCTCTCCCATCTCTTTTTCTCAAGGTAATACCATGCCTCCAATTGTCATTATACCCAAGAATCAAATTATTTGAATTCTAGACACATCAGCACAAAACTGAAGACTCCCTGCCAATTTTCGTAGCCTGCTTGGAAGAGAACATCAGAGAGCATCACTCATTTATACGACTGCCAGCCTGAGACTGTAAATTCAGAAAACAAGAAGGCCTCAGGTGCTGCACTTTAACACGTCTTTCTGCTCCTGAATCCCCCCCTCCTCGTCCCCCCCCCCATCACACACGAGGTAACATTTTATCTCTGAAAAGCAAATCTTTCAAGCATCCGCCGGGGCAAGCGTAGACTCTGTACAGCCTGAATGTGAATTGAAAATGAGACTATTAAGTATATTAATTGATAACAGCGACTTGTGACTTTGAAGGAGATTTGTGACACTTGGAAAAATAATCTATAAAGATTGTTGTTGCTCTAAAAAGGCAGTGCAGCATCAGCTCATTTGACTTGCAGCAGGTTCATCTCTTTTATAGAGCGTACTGCACTGCAGGCAAAGGGAATTTTAATGGACACTGGAAAAAAATACGATCTATTCCTCTGTCCCACGACAAAAAAGAAACCATAAAAAGATATAGAACAGAGAGACCGAGATACGATATCAGAAAACATTTAAGGAACTATAATTAAATTAAGATTCAGAAGTCTGCCAATGAGATGAAGATTAAACCGGCAGAAAGTTGAACCTTGTTTGAAGCAACTTGTTCCCTCCTGCTGTGGGTTGTTTCATACCAGGCTAATGAGAAGGCATATCTCTGAAAGGTTCCTAAAAAATGGTTAATTAATAAACATCTTTGGCAGGAGTACACCATGTTCCATTTAATGCTTTTAAATGCCTTGCAAGCACTAATGCCATAATGCATTACTCTTTCCTTTTTCAAGCTACCAGCCCTGCTCTGTAATCATCCCTTTTTTTGACTCTTTGGCCTCCATAAAGTCCCAAAGCAACGATTTTCACAGCTTAATTCTATTCTGTGCTTATTCCAAAACCTGTTGCCTGGTAACTTCATTGGTTGACCACTATATTGTGTGAGATAATGAACAGTCATCTCCTATTGCCTTTTTTGTCACTGTTCTTGACTTTAAAGACCTGTATCATATTCCCTCCAGCTTATTTTTTTCTGAGATGACTAGCCTCAATTCCTTCTTCCATGAAAGTTGTTTCACGCCTCTGATAATCTCTGTGTCTCATCTCTGTAGGTTTTCTGGTTCTATGTTATCGTTTTCGAGACTGTCACTAGAACCACACATTGTGTTCAAATGTAGTAAAAAATAAAGCTTGTAACACAGCTGAACAAGGCTGACAGTCTGCTCAGAAGACAGTTGGCATCTCCATTCACCCACCAGTAAGGAAGGCCATCTAAGCATATGGATATCATTTGTCTGATCATTTTCAATAAACTT